GTAACTGGATGCAGGATTACAGAGAGGAGAGCAGAGCAGAGGAAGAAAGGGGAACAGACTTGTTACTTTAAGTTGCTCCTGGGTCTTTTTAACTTGACAAAACCCAGCGCATGTTTGTCTTTTGCAGCCGACGGGAGGTGAGAAGGACATGCTCAGGACAGAAGATGAGAATTAACCAGAGGTAGAGTCTAAAGATTTCCCTGTTGAGAATTCCCAAGGTTGTGTCGGATTACTTAAAAAATACACCTAAGCATAGTAATAATTCATAATCACACACTAACTCCCAAGCGAGTATTGCTCTTTTAGACACCCCCCCCCCCCCCCAACAATATTATCCTATAATTATGTTATCTTAACTTTCACTATCTCCCGTTTTCACAGCAGTAGCCTTCCATATCAGCCTGTCAGAGTCTTTGAAGTGACCGCCAAGCTGCCGTCTCCGAACACAATAACAGTGTGCAGATGGAGCTCACGGAGCAGAGCACAAGGGCCCCAGTAGGAGAGGGACATGCTTTAATTTCTACGGTTGCCTCTTGTAGAGCTGACCTTCACACCTCCGGCGATCCATCAATATATTTTCTTTTCCGCCAAGGGCAGTCGGAGCCTAAGCAGAGCATGGGGTTTTCAAAATAAATGGTATGGTGGGAGAGCAGGTGAAGGTGTACAAGATGTACTTCATTAGTACAAATAATCAAGTAAAGCTGGTGATACTTGCAGCCTGTAAACACAACTTTAAGGCAACTTAAAGTTAAAAATAAAAAAGGTCTCATCTTTTGTCTACATAAAGCACTTCTCTATTTAAAGAAAAAGATGCACAAGGATTATGTACTACTCAAATTGAAGAGTAATCTTATATTATAATAGCAATTTAAATTAGCCAAAAACACTATTTTAAATTTAAAAAAAAATAAGTATAACTGAAAGTACTCAAATGGGTTTTAACAGGAGTATTTTGGATGTCTGCTTATTATTCAGTCCTATTTTAAATCGAACTTTCACAGTCCTATCAAATCCATTACTTTTGAAAAATAGGCACTGCTACATTTTCTTTTCATGGTGCAGTTCCACGTAAAACTTCACAATTTAACCTTACCTTTTTGGGCTAATTAGGCATATATAGTGATGTGGGATTATATATTTTTAAATACATTATAGTAACAAACACTATATATAAAATCTGTCACCCACAATGGTTTTTGAAGGATTTGATGTCAACTGTAAGGCATATCACATTCAACATTAATACTGTTCCATGAATGATTCACAACTGGAAATGTTCTAAAAATGGAAACGGTGAAGCACAGCTGCTCGTGTTGAATCCACAAATGCGGCATTTTTAGCGTTGTGCTGGTGACATGATGTGCTGCTTGCTTATATTGAGCATTTGGTTGAATTCTCCCATAATGTGTGTACCTTGTTGCTGAAAGCATTTAAAAAATAATATGTCTGTTGAGTGGTGAGGGTTAAGTCTCTCTTCCAACTCTGACAAATGTTTTCTTATTGCTCTTTGCCCACAGAGAAGTTTGTATTCAAAGAAGGAGTTATTTCAAGAATGTTTCCTGCAGCTGAATCTGCTTTTATAATCACAGCTCGGGAGATATTACTGGGATTACATCCATACTTATTTTTGGTGAATGCCACAGAAATGTGTTCAACCTCAAATTGTACTTCTATTTCTAAATCAATGTATCCTGAGTGTCCATAAAGACTTTTCTTGAAAAACAAATCAGAAGCCCTCGATGCCACACAAAAAGTCGGAAAGCAGCACGGTTGCTGCTCCTCTAGTAGGCGGCATACTCATTGGGAACAACTGACAAAAGACAATGGTGGTCAGAAAAAGCACTTTATGAACACTCGGCCTAAATAAATAAAAATAGAACAAGGCGTTCACAGATATTGGTGGGGTAAGAGAAGTGAAAGGGAAACCTATACTCTCTTGGTTGTTTTGGCATGGTCATCCCACAATCACAATACCATCAATTAAATCTAATCCATTAATTTGGCCACCCGTGTGGCTTTAAAAGGAACCTCTATGGTGGAAGAACAACATTCCAGTTTCATTAGTTTACACTGCTGATATTAATACTATCATTACAGTTGGACATGGTTTATTTTGACTGCTATTACCACTAATACAATAATAGACCTTAATACAGGCTGAGTGAGGGGGGAAACGGGCACAGGACCGACTTGGAGTTATTCCACCTCCAGCAGCTGCAGCAGGGGCCCGGTGAGGTCAGACGTACAGTAACACTTGACCCCGACTCTGTGTGTGCGTGGAACAACCAGCCCATCCTCCCGCCAACCCCGGTCCCTGCAGACCAGCAGAAAGGGCAGTAACCTCTGAAGGCTTTGTTTGGTTGGCCGGAGTCTGAGCATAGGCCCACCATTGTAAGTCTGGGGACTCCTATGCTCAAGCTCTTGTTTTCTTTGGGAAGCAGGAAATTGGATGACTGGCTACCTGCTACAACAACATCCTGTACTTGAGAAGCCGTCTTTTCACCCATACCCACCTATTATTTCCCTTTTCCATCATACGCAAGTGGTCAGCCAGCAAGCTTCTTTTTCCTTTTTCTTCTTCTTCTGGTCCTGGGGGCCCCGTGCGTGGGTTTGTCTAGGTTCCACTCAGGTTGAGATCAAATTGGCCCCATCCAGATGCTTCCGTTGAAAATAGTGTGCAGGGGCCAAATACTTTAGCTTTTGGAGCTTGACTCCACCTTGTCAGGTTAATGGCCCTTTGTGAGTTGACTAGAATGACAGTGATCATGTGCAAAAATGAATGTTCCTATTCAAACACACACACACTCAAATCTACTTATAGTTCTGTCAGTGCTTGTCAGGTCACCTCAGACCAATCAGCAGTGATCTGCGGGGGTCTGCAGGAGACCACTTGCCACTATGAAAACATTCTTAGGGATTATGGGGCTACAGACAGGATCTAGTTGGGGCGTTGATGAGAGCTGATTCTGATCTGACCTCAGGGATACCCGGCCTCCATGTGAGATATTAATGAAGATAACCATGGCATCATCGGAAGGGATTTTGTGTAAAGCTGGCTCTGTTGCAAGGTGTTCTCAATAAGCACCCATATTACACATTAGAGCTGCTTAATCCCTACTGATAAGATGTTGTCGCTGTGACCCCCAGACAGGAAGATTTGACTAAAGTGTGTGACCTGGAACCATGTAACCAATGCCCCTAAGGTGCACACATATACATGGTTTTGGCCTTTTGGAGTAGACAGCCAGCTTTTGAAGCCATTTTGCTCCCTCAATACACATCAATTTAGCTTATTTTATTATATATATATACACATGTATTTAAATGTGATATTCATCATAGTGTACCTGGTGCTCCTTTTAAAGTAGCTTATATTGGGCATTGTGGTTTGAAATGTATATTTTGTGTGTATCAAATTTCTCATTTTTAAATTGTAGACTTTGCATATGCAAGCCAGAGATAAATGTCTGCCTTTTGACGGGAAAAGGAACAATTAAAGTATATTTTATTCTAACCAAACAGAGGTGCTGATTTGTTTCCCCCTTTATTCAGTCTGAAATCAGGTTCATGTTAATGGAGGATATTTGTTTGGAGATGCATGCTATTTAGACTTGCAAAGCAGCAACATGCGACGTCGTAAGTGAAGTTAACACAGAAGCTATAGCAATAGAAGTTATTGAAATTAGCATAAAGTGCTACTTGTGGGCCACTTAGCGCAGTGGAACAAGCTGGAATCATAACAGCCTGTGTATAAAGTCGATATTGCAAACACTTTGGTAAACAGTTTCCTTATGTTTATTCAGTAATTGGAATGTCAGTCAAATATTCACCCATATTTTACCCACACACGCACTTTTAGCTGTGTTTCAATTTTCAAAACAGCTCTCTGCTTCTGCTAAAAACAAGGAGCTGAACGATGCTAAAACGCTTTCTGCAACTATGGAGATCTTCATTCTAGTATTTAATCTGTTGGTTTCTCACGATGAGTGAACTGTTTTATATAACAGGCATTCTTTGTTACCATAGGTCACAAAAAATGTTGACACCATTTTTCTTGCTCTGGCAAAGAAAGATTATGTCATCATTTTCAATTGCGTGTATGAAGCTCTAATTGGTTGGCAGTTATTTCCAAACAGGAAACAGCTAGTGAGAACAACAGTAGACTAGATTGAATCGCTCCAATACAAATCTAAGATGTGGGCGGCTGCTGGAACCATGTGAAAATACTGCATGCTGAAAAGGACAGGCAGTTTCTCATACACACGGCACAGGCAAAACACACACACAGACAATGTATTGCCTTTTATGCCAGCTGCCAACATCAAAAGCTAATGTGAGCAAACTTCTCCTCAGCTATTATTTTCTTAGCAATTGTAATATCTGACCCAAAGATCTACACATGATAAAACCATTAGCTGAGAATATAGATGTACCTATCGTCCGATCATAACTCAATTGTTGCGGATGGAAGAAATTATCAAGATATTTTCTCATTTTGAAACAGATGATTTATTCTATTTGCAGAAACAGGCAACATCTGTGTTTTATCAATAACATTCAACATGTATAAAAAAGAATAGTTAAAAAAAGGAAGCTTGACAGATTTTAGAAAAACCTAAACTCTAGGAAAAAAGGAAACTGACAAAATGTTAAAAAAAAAAATCTGATTCTGAGGCACTTATGGCTTGGCAACAATTGTGCAGTCTGAGTTTTCCCAGGTGGTTGTAGTCAAGCGTCAAAGGCCATGATTACACTATTGGAAGCACAGGGGATGCTCTCAAACTCAATCACATCACGGTCTGATATGTCATCACTGGCTTTAAAGCTTCTGTCTGGACTTTGTCACTGATCGACAATGACCATAAGTATCATCTTTAATATTTAATGTATCAAAAGGTGGCCTCTTGAACAGAGAATTTATCAATAATGTATCAAAATGCAGTTCATTATGGACATATTCAACTATTTACAACAGCAAAGTAGATGCTCTGTGATTTCTTCCTGGGAATTATTAAGAGTCTTGTTTGAATCCTGCAGCTTTCCACAGAATCACAGAATCGCTTTCATTGCGCTGTATTAGTGTCCAGTTGACCCCAAGTATCTCTGTGACATCTCTTTTTTTTTCCTAATGTCGTAGGCTTTGTTCATTCAGAGCTTGGCGAGGCCGCCGAGTCTATGTCGTCATTCTCCAGGTCATTGGGCGAGGACGACTGTCCCCCCTTCACTCTCTTCCACTTCATCCTCCTGTTCTGAAACCACACTTTCACCTGTTGTACAAAAACAAAGAAAATGCTTTATTAGAATGTGCACTGAATTAAAAAGTTGGTTCTTGATTTTGACATTTGATTGTGTAACAAGGTTTAACGTTGCATACATGGACAAAGTTATTAGGTTAAATGTGTCTTGTTCCGGTTTTCGAGGCATTATTTATCAGTGGATCAACATATTATTCATTTATAACTATTTCAATAATCTATTCATCGTAAAAAAAAAATAAAATCACAAATGCCAACATTTTCCTGCTTAGGATCTCAAATATGAATATTGACTGAAAGTATATTGATCCTTACTATTTTCTGACATTCTACGACAGGGGTATTCAACTAAAATTCAACGAGGTCCAGTTAGAGAAAATCTCCCCATGCAAAGGTCCGGAACATCAAAATGTCTAAGTTGCTTTATGAATTAGTGTGATATTGAAGTGACCTGTAGCTTTATCAACGTCTGCATGTCATCAACAACTGACTGCCAATCAAATAAAGAAAGTACAATTCATAAACAACAATATTTATTGTCAATTAACATTGAACTCTACAGATATACAGTAAATACTGTGGATATGTGTAATGTTCCTCTCGGGCTGCATTTAAAAATAAAATAGCTTTTGAAAATATGTGCATCTTAAAAGTGCTTAATTTTAGATAAATAAAATAAAGTGTAGCAGCAGCTTGAGTTTCCCTTTTTCTTTGTTAACCGTTTCACATCATGACTTAACAGTTTCAGCCGATTATAGAACAATATCAGTCTTTACACATCATAACAATTGAACAGTTTAAAGTTTCTCTTTCTTTCCCTCTTATATTGAAGTCCCTCACTCACTTTTTTTAAATTCAGTGTGAGAATTGAGCTTGAGCTTGTCCTGCCAGGAGTTTGTAAATCTGGGCTGAAATGGTGTCAGGGCCATTCTCACACACATGCAGGTGCTCATTGGTTTCAGTGATGCAAACACAGGTATGGTGAAAAAAGAGAGAACTATTAGAAGCAGAAAAAAACAGCGTAATATACCATCTGACAAAGGCCTGTGCTATAATGCTTCAATTAACTGCTATTCTTTATAATATACTCAGATCAATAGGAGACAGAGATGTTATTATTATTTACAGCAGGGGTGGGGAACCTTTTTCCTTTCAATTTTTACAACATCCCCCGAGGGTCGTACAAATTATTGAACTCAACCTCTACTTAAAAAAACTAAAATCACAGCCCATTCATTTCACCTTTCTTTCATTCTGTGCAAAGAAAAAGCAACCAATCCAGATATCATATTGTGTGGCGTGACCACCAAAACAGAAAGATATGGACACAAGATGTGTGCAAATGTATTTAGTATCCTATCCATGTGAACATGATTTAAGTGGGGGGGGGGGGGACCTAACCTCCTCTAGGGGGGTCCGGGGGCATGTTCCCCCGGGAAGATTTTTTTTTTTTAATATTGAAGTTAAAAGCATCCATCTGGTGCACTTTGAGAGCAGAATGAAGAGATCTATGGATACATCTTTCAACACCCATATGAAACAGAACTGTAAGCAGATTTTTCTTTTTGGATATTTTACAAATCACTCCCCTTTTAAACTCTATTCTTGTTGTTTTTAACAACTTTTTTGTTACTGTCATATAGTATTTTATACCTGTTTTTCATTTAGTCTCATTAATAACTATAATGATCATATCAAGGTGTGCCTTAACCTCACTGAGCTGAGGTTATTTGAGCCTCTCAGGAGAGAGCTCTCTTCCACCTGGTTGTAGAAAAGCTCTTTAAATTCGTTAGCATAGCTAGCTAACCAGATGCTAATAACAACAGATCGCCACTGTGCTTACAACTAAAGACACAGCCACGCAAACACTGCGGCATGTGTACGGCTCCTTATGGGTACTGCAATAGGGCTGGAGCGGAGTTCCGGTGCTCTCTGTCAGCACTCATTTCAGAAGAGACATATACCACGGGAAGACACGTTACGCTCGTGTTGTGTTCAAGGAACCTGTCCTTGACCAGGAAAAATAGGTAGGCCTACTCACTTGTTTAATTATTTTTGCGGTCTAGATTTCTTCTTCTTTTTTTTTAAGTGAGAAGAAAGAAAACTCTTTGGTTCTCCACGAATTACACAAGTCACCCAAATCAGCCTTAAAAATGCGGGAGGTGCCGAAAAATCCCCTATTAATGTATTGATTATAGCTCCGGGTCCGTATAGGTCGGCGCCTGGGTCCGGATCCGGACCGCGGTCCGCCTGTTGCCGACCCCTGTAAACATCTACGATATAAGAATAGGCTTTATATGATTGTTGCAGCAGCACAAAGACATACATAAATACAAAAGACTAGCAAAAATAAATCTTTAGAGGTATTTACAAAACTATGACAAGAATAGAAGTAAAATACAAACTATAGAAGGAAATGAAAGTAAATTACATGGAAAAATTGTCAGCAGTGGGTTGTGATTGGTAGCCGCTATGTCCACAATATATTGCATATACACACAACAGACTAAAATATAGTGTGAGTTTAGTGTCTGTCATTATAGACCAAAACAATGAGATAATTGTTAAATAATGCAATAAATAAAAAATATGGCATACATATACTATACCCAGTATACGGAGGTAAAACAATGACTGTCTAATACTAGATCACATTTACACAGACACAGTGAAAAATGTTTTTTTTCTATCCAAAGATTTTTGAACTGGTAACAGAATCCCTGCGGCTTTTCTCTCTGTTTTGCGATTTTTAGCAAAATGTACAGCAGGGTCAGCAGAAAAATAGACAAATAATCCCCCACAAATCTCCCAGAGCAGAATAGAAATTGGCTCAGTTTGGCGTTGGCCTTGCAAGGAGTATGAATTGTCAGTACAAAGCTTTCTGTTCTGGCTCAAAAATCTCTGCAAATGCAGGCAGAGAGTATCGTATAGACAGCGGGGTCAGAAGAGTCAACTATCAGGATGTCAGCCTACACAGGATGTGAGTTTACGGTGTGGATAGTGCTCATCTACTGCACTCCTCTGAAATGGCAATGATATCATGCTTCAACTGTCCGGCCAAGAATAGCAGCAAAAACACACACTTCCTGAAATTACAGGAGAAATACGACAGAAAAACACTTGCTAACTCCCTGATTGGGAACATTCATTGTCCTTTTATAAAGGCCTCAACTGAAGTTTATAACTCCCAGGAAAGCTATTTTATATTAATATGATACATATGATACGGATACAATGTCAACATAAAAGTCGGTGCTAGTGGCATACTTAAGCCGATGTTGAATGCTTTTTTTTTTACTGGTTGATGATGGGTATTACATATAAGCTAATGTTATTCTATTCTATTCAAAGCTTTTTTCTTTGTTTTTGTTTTTTATTCTCTGTCAAAGCGTCTTTGAGTGTCTAGAAAAGCGCTATATAAGTATCATGTATTATTATTCATTTTTTTATCATGTACAATTCACCTAATTCCCCTCTTTTCTGAAAAAACTGGGTACATTTAAGTGTGTTGACATTAATGTAGCTTGTCACAGAAGAATATAATATATTATGCTTAAGTTAAACAGGTTTGATGTGGGTCTTCAACAATCCTGATGGGTTTCTCATCAGAAAATACTATATACATATAAGCTAATACAACATATTTAAAACCTGATAAAAATGTTAAAGTCCAATGACTCTAAACTCTAAACTTGATGTGTTTTACAGGACTGCGGCAATAAACTAAGATCATGTCATATGTGTATAGGATACTAAGAATTCAAATGAATCTGTTCCCACATAATTGAGCCTCTTTGTCTCAGTGTTTCTGCTCATCCAGGCTGATTGAAAGGACAGTGAAACGCCAAAGCCTGTAGGATGAGCTGGAAAAGCCGACGAGTTGCAGTGGGAGCTCCGAGTGAAGATGGAACCGGGCTGTGTGAGTGTGTGTGTCCGTGTGTGTGTTTCAGAGGTCTGGGAAATAGATTTAGGGAGCAGACGGCAGTATGTGTGGTCACTGTGGCACCGTGGCCTCATTAGGAGGAGCTGGGACACTGAGGCCTGACAGGCAGACTGGGGTTTGATCCAGAAACATCGACACATGTTTGCCCGATTTCATCCAGTCTGCAACTGCCGCCCACTCATTAAAGTGCATGTCATTCTGCTACGACCACATGATGAAAAGTTTTGTGGAAAAAAAAGGCTCTATTTAATTTTAATGCATCTATGTGCATGCATCTGGATTATTACTATATATGTTTGTTTTTGGTGAAAACCTTTTACTGAGTTTTGCAACTAGAAGTAAAGAACTAAAGTATGACAGCAGTAATAGTAAAAAAGTAACTAGTAGCTAATAACTAACAAAAATATTAACTTTTTAGAAACTTCTTTCTTTCTATGGCTTTCTACGGAGCCCCTAAAGGGACATGAACAAACATGTATAAAAGAGAAGAAAAAAAAGTCGGGATAACGGGTTAGTATCTCGTGAGCACGAGATACTAACCCGTTATCCCAACTTTTTTTGTTGTCCGGTGCGCCAAGTAGAAGTGGAGCACACAGGAGACAACCATTTCATTGCAGACTGTTATGTTTATGTGGGGAAATGACAGTGCATACATTATTTGAGATATATTTCAAACTCAGACTTAATTTTAAGGACATTTCAGCCAGGGGTGTAGAGCTATTTGTTTAAGCACCCGATTGGCAAAACAGGAGAGTCTGTAAACCAGTCTGCTTTGATCTATGAATTAATGTCCGTGACTCTCAGAGTAGGCTACCTGCTGCCCGCAGCTGTTTTAAAGGGAAACAAACACTCAGAACACACACACACACACACACACACACACACACACAACACACACACACACACACACACACACACACACACACACACACACACAACACACACACACACACACACACACACACACACACACAGGGCCAGTGGCGGACTGGCCATCGGGACGTTTGGGACGAATCCCGATGGGCCGGTACCGAAGTGGGCTACCGAGATTATCGGTAGCCCGTTATCCCGACTTTTTTTTTTTCATGGCTCCGTAGCTTTCAGTATTTGTGACTTAAACAATTCTTCTAGATTTCAAATGTTTTGGTCGTTGAAGAATTCTTAATTCTTTATTTATTAAACACAAAGATCAAAATCAGTCCATTACATTGTCACTTCATACATTTGTTTTTAAACAAAACAAACTTTTACCATATTAACAAAATCCAAACCACTCAAAGGTATTGATTCTCCAAATATATAATGATATTTATATGGTGTGAGTGAGGGATAGGCTGTGTACCTGTCTCTCTGTAAGGTCCAGGTTGACTGCGATCTCGTAGCGGCGCAGCCTGGTCAGGTAGTTGTGGTGGGTGAACTCAGCTTCCAGCTCTCTCAGCTGCTCCTTAGTGAACGCTGTGCGCTCTTTCCGGGCCTTGCAGCTGGAATCCACCTTAAAACTTGAATCCTGGATATCTGGGGGGGGGGGGGGGGGGGGGGGAGACATAATTTAGTTTTTGCAGTTAGAGATGCTTGTCTGTTGGTCTGCTCATGTATACTGACAAATAAAGTATTCTTAGCATCATTTGAGATGCATATTTTTAAAAGTTTTTAGAATAGGTATATAGCAGATTTTCATCCTAACTTCTATATAAAGGGGTGAGGGACCCTGATTGTCTTGGGGTGATCCTACCACTTGAACACTTCCAACTGCTAATCTGATTTGAATGAGCCCTCTAGTCCTTTTGTGAACATCCTCTCATTGACTATTAAACAGACCTTAAGGACCTTTCCAACCAACAAACCCTAACTCCAAAGACTCTTTAGTGGGAGGCCCCTCATATAGTAAACACCAAAACCAGCACTTTAAAAAGAGACCACCCTGACCTGAACTCATAAGTTCATCCACCTGCATCATGTTTTCAGCATGTGTGCATTTACATTACTCTAATTGTGCATTTAGCCTTTTGTTTACAAATGTAAGTATGAATTCATGCAGTTCATTCATGGTGTGTGTGAGAGCATATCGGCACAGGGCAGGGCCCACCAGACAAGCCACAGAGGGACTGAGTTAGGAGAGGAATGCAGCGGAACATCGTTAAAGCCTCTAACAAAAGAACAAAGGTGCGGATGTGTCCAGGTCGGACTGCTACGTGTATATGTGTGTGTGTGTCTTGCGATTTCCCTCCTGAGCACTCGGGGGGGAATTCACATTAACTCATCTCAACATGACAGCATATACATCAGGACAAAGCCTGAGGTATCTCTATGAATTTGGCGGTCAGTTGTACGGGTCGAGCAGTAAATGTGGTCTGAACTAAACGCTGACATCAGTTTCAGTGATTATCCAGGCTCTCATAAAGACAAAAGTCGGAGTTTATTGCTAAGATCTATTGGTTTCCTTGCCTTTATATTTCCTAGGAAATCGTCAAATTTTAAATCTCATTTACCAGGATAAATATAAATGAAAGCTGGCTGATTTAACTTTCAGTAAAAACCTCTCGTGTATTAAAGGAAAAGAGTTTGGGGTAATAATTGTGCATTGGTAGCAACACTAGCAGCTGATGTAATCTCTCGAAAATGCTTCTAATTTGTCAAAGTGAGAAGTTTTGCTTGATGGTTGCCAGAGAAGCAGGCCAGAATGTGAAAGTGATCGCTGTACCTGGGCCAGATGTGACTGGGCACATGTGTGCTCATGTGCGCAAACGTCTGATGTGTGTGCAGGCGTACCAGTGTGTCGTGCCAAAAAAACGTCTTATTGTTGTTTAAGTGTCATTAATGACGCGCTGCCCTGAGTGCGCCGACTCTGCCTTGCCGCGTCAGGTCTGGTCTGGAGCTGTGTCAAGCAGGTTTCGTTAGACTGAACACCTGGCAGGGCACATACTGGTTCCCACTAAACAGGCCCCCAATAAATATCCTGCACAGCCAGAGACCGTAAACTAGCAGGGAGAAGGCTTCTGCACCCAGCAGGGTCCCACAGGCAAACATTTGGTGCCTTTTTGCTTAGGACTGGGTTAAAGCTGGTTTAACTTCCGGATTGTTTAAAAAAAACAAAAAAAACAGGTGGAAATTACAGGCGTGACTGAGTATGTTAAAATAGGAGCCAGGGTTTGACAATGAGTTAGTAAGTTGTATTGGTACACTCCATTTTAACCTTATAGGTAGTAATGAGTTATTAATACATTTTTGTTTATAGGTATATAGATGGGAGTTGTATTCTTGACAACATCAAAAATATTTTCTAAATGAGTTCTAAATTTAACAATTTTGAAAAAACCCATCTGTACAAACAGTTTTAAAATGCTTTATAATAGTTAGTATTTTGTACATAATATGTGTAATACATTCCATTACATTTAGCTGACGCTTTTATCCAAAGCGACTTACAATAAGTGCATTCGACCAAGAAGATACAAACTTGAAGAAAACAGAATCATATAAGTACATCAGCTTTCATAGAGCCAAAACATTTCAAGTGCTACTCAAATGGCTTTAGATAAGCCAGTCCTGTATTAGTATATAAGTGCTTTGTTAGTAATTGTATTGCTCAAAGTGGAGTCAAAAGAGATGAGTTTTCAGTCTGCGCCGGAAGATGTGTAAGCTTTCTGCTGTCCTGATGTCAATGGGGAGCTCATTCCACCATTTTGGAGCCAGGATAGCAAACCCACGTGTTTTTGCTGATGGGAACTTGGGTCCCCCTCGCAGTGCGGGTGCAGCGAGCCGTTTGGCTGATGCAGAGCGGAGTGCACGTGCTGGGGTGTATGGTTTAACCATGTCCTGGATGTAGGAAGGGCCAGATCCATGCACAGCATGAAGTGAAGTGGATTCTAGCAGTTAGAATACATGTGTGCAACTATGTTGTAATGTTATACTGATATATTTATTGACAGTGTTATAGTATATAAAATCTACTATTTAAGTGTTTATATTCTGTTAAATGTTTGGAAGGGGTAAAAATAGAAATATATATTTTGAGATGTTTTTGTCATCAAATCTTTAGCCAATTTAGTATAATAATAATGAAGATGATGTAAGTTTTGAGCTTCTTTTTAGCTTAAATTATTTCCTAATGGTAGACTGCCTATCTCACTGTTCCTGTTACATATTGAGCTGTATTATATAAGTCATATTTTGGATTGAAGTCAATATCAAGACAAGTTTACGGTTTTGGAAACATATCTTCATAAATGCACACAGACAAAAGCAGACTGTATAGCAGCTCTGTCTGTAATGCAAAAGCCTTCAGGGCATTTTCCTAATATATGCTCTTCTACCAGCTAGTCAATACATTACTGAATGACTCTTTTCTAAAAACCAAGATCTGATGCAGTGGTCAGACATGTTGCATGCACTCAGTGGGAGATCGTGTTACGGCTTAACGACAGGAAAATGTCAATGGATAAGAATGTAAAAAGTGGGCTCACAGGGAAAGTGATTTTACCAGACGTGGTCTGGCATGTTTTCAGTGTAGTGAGTGGAGGTTACAATAAGGTAAGAAAGGGAGGGGTTCAGTACGCCCCCACCACCCCCTTCAATTAGGCTGCTGCAGACTTTGGTCATGTCGTTTTTCCAAATAATTATTCATGGTCTTTATAATCAGATATGGTATGTTACATTTGGACAAAAAAAGATAATCACAATGAAGCAGTTGATTACAAAATCTGAACTGTTGACGGAGAAAAACTCCACTCACATTATAAGTGGTTACTAAAAACACAGACAAATGTTATTTAAATGATTTCCAGAAAATATAATTCTGCCTAGTTCAAAGTTTTACTAGAGGCTTCACGCATGTCTCAAATGTCCAGAATTTAATGTACAGTTTTTTTCTACATTAGGTGTAGAGGTGCAAATACCAGTGTCACTGCATAAATCATCTTTGTGATGGAAACAAAGTTAACAGGCTGAGACTTTTCTTAGTTTTCACAGATGAAATGTGAACGTTCCAGATGTGTTGGACCTGGTTTTATTTCATTCTGTCATTCTACACATTTAAACATTTTACACCTTTAGATTTAGTTTGAGTATAAACATTTACTTTAGTCCGTTGCGCTCATAGTTAGTGTTACGTGTGAAACTTTTAGGAATTAGTTCGTCATGGATATCGGATTATTTGGCTTCCTATTAGCAACTGTGAAATATGATCGGGGGAATAAATTGCACTATAATCCAAAAGCATACAATGATACCGTTTGAATGCTTACAACACAGCACTAAGCATTTAAAAGGATAATCATAATTTTCTAACAAAAAGGAATTTTAGCAGAGGGAAATGCTAGATAAGTGTGTATGATTATATATATGTTTGGCTCACTAGTGTTTGCTTGAGCAGCTGAACATTTCTCAAAGCATTATTTAATGATCAATTTATTTTTCTTTGATAGATCAAGGGGTAAAGTTTTAATTTATTCTTGATTCACAAAAAGCAGCAGGATCGTTAATTTATTTAACAAATTTACTTTTGAGAAATATTGAATTATAACTTAAAGTATAATACATAAAAAACTGTGTGAGGCACCTGTAATGTTTTAAACTGCTTTGTTTCCACAGAAGCCTGATGTCACTTTTTACCATAATTTTGAAAGAGGCCATACTGTTACTAAACAATGGTTTATTTCCAACGGATACAGTAGCGCAATGAAACGTTCACGTCTCGTTAATCATTTGAGCCTTTGAACAATAAGAGGATGCAACTGCTACTTAAAATGTGTGTCTTGAACACAAAAGTCCTGTCACCTACTCACCTTTTACATTGCAATGTGGTGAGAGTGCTGCTTTAAGGCTGATTGGTTTTGGAAATACAGAGAATTTGTGTCACTGCCAGCTGTGATGTAGGGCAGGAAAGACATTCTTAACCTTGACATACTGAACATTTGCTACACTACAACAAATGGCATGGCCTTTTGTTTTTACAGGTTTGTCAAAATAAGGTTTGGGCTCATCGGATTACTATCACTTGTTGGCTTCCCTGACACATTTCCATGTTTCCTCCTCATCATTTATTTACATTTCCACCACCATATACACAGTGGAAAAGAAAAAGAATGTGGAATAATTTTAAATCCTCCCAAAATGTGTGTTTTCCTTTTCTACGCCTCCTGTGACTAGGTTCTGGATGCTCATCTTTCCCTATAAAACCCAGCTGCCATCCATCCATCTCGGTGACTCACCTGTGACATCTCTCTTCCTCTTATTGGAACCCTTCTTGTCAGACTCGGCTGAAGCCACGCTCTGGGGTGAGTATTCTCCATCCAGGCATCCGGGCAAGGCCCCTGGAAGCCTGTCTCCCCCTGCATTGTCCAGCTCATGTCCTCCACCTCCACCTACTGCTACAGGTGCGACGATGGCCGGGCAGGCCTCTGGCGCCCTCACCCGTGTCTCGCAGTGGTTGAACTGCCAGTCAGCTCTCTGGTAACCCCCTTGGCTGTCTTGGTACAGTCTGTCATCACGGGGGTAGGCTGCGTGCGGTGCGGTCGGCACCAGGCAGGAGCTGGAGAAGTCTGTGTAGGCCAAGAAGTCAGGCTTCTGGTGGAGGGAGAAAGGGGCCTGCTGGTAGGGCGACTGCAGATTGGCACCTGGGACCCCTGAGTGAGGGTTCCTCATGCAACCCCAAATGGGGCTGCTGGGGTGGGCGCTCCGCATGCAGCTGCTGCCGGGCTGATCCATGGTGATGCAAAAACACTTCACACAATCTTGATTATTATTGAAAGTCTTTTTCCTTGTGGAGGAGTTGGAAATCCCCTCAGAAGGGAGGTTATGACCGGAAATCTGTATCTGTCTGTTTTGAGAAACATCCACTTCAGCTGACTATCATCATCTTCTCACTTCATCCACCTCAGGAATACTCACTTCTGTCAGAGTCTCTTCCACAACAAAAAAGCGCGTGAGGATAGACGCCTTTCCCGTGACAGCGCGTTTTCCTCTTTCTCTGGGAGTGTATGTGACGTCCTTTGGAGCCTCTGGTCCTGACACACACTCACACACTTTCCCTCTGTCTTGCTCTCACACACCCTCTCTCCCTGACTGATCTGACTGGCTTGTGGCTCGGTGGGAGAGCTGCATCCGCAACTGCATGACTCCCCTTCTCGGGCTGGCTGTTTTCACAACTCTTCTAAGGCATTCTTGACAAGTGAGCCCTCCTCCTTTTTAAACGTATAGGTGGGAAAGAGTGGCAAGTTTATGGAGTGTAATGTGAGATTGCATAGGAGGAGCCCTGCAGGCCACATGTTGGTAGTACCCTCCAACCAACCCTGCCTCATCAACTATTAATCACAGGGGAAATTTTATATGCACATCTAATGGTCTTTCCAGACGTGGGGCTTTTTAAAGGGACATTGTCTGTAAAATATAAAGCAAGCACCCACCCACATGAGTTGGGGACCCTGACTTATTTCAGCTCCTTAGCGCTTTCTGACACCCAATTTAGTTCCTTTTTTGACACCTTTTAGAGGAAAGTTAACCCTAACCCTTTCCCTCTACACCCCTGATCCCTGCCTGTCTTTTCCAATCTGAAAAGTATTTTTTTTCCTTCCCTGTTTTTATGACTATGTGTATGCTTGTGTGCACGTTAATGCTACACACCCAAATCCACCTGGATGTACTTTCTTTAACTGATAGAGGGACTGGATTTGATATTGGCTATGCAGACTCACACCTCTTGAGGTTTTCTCACTTTAGTGAAACACAATATGACATTTCAGAGCCATATTTCAAAAACACAAGCTAGTATTTTCTCTAAGCAAACACTATGCCTGAGGGATTGTGCTATTATTTTTTTTAGGTATGGTTTGTGTGGAGCCCTTCCTTCTTTTTACGTCTGAGAAATTAAGCTGCAGCGGCAATTGTGTGTGTCTACGACTGCATGTAGATTAACCGCATCTGGATAGACTGAAATATGATTATTCAATTTCTGATTACTTATTTTTTATCTGTACAGAAAAAAAGCCACTTCCCCATGACGTAATGTCTCTAATACCATTCTAACCTTTTTGGCTAAACCAAAATTTGGAATCAATTTTAGCGTATCCATTACCCATTAAACCCACTGAACCACACTTTACAGAAATGCAGTTTTTCTTCATACTGCTCATATTTGTGAGCTGAGGTTAGTTTTCCTTGTGTGTCCTCACTTTGCTCCTGACCTCAGACAGAAGGGGTGATGGATCGGACCTCCATCGATAGAAGACAGAAAATGAGACGGCTAGATTTAGAGATAGAGGCTATTAGAGAAGAAAGAGAGAAAAACTGAGAGAGTGAAACTTAGACAAAGGGGGAACTTTTTTTAATCTTCTGCTGATGACTTTCTTAGCCAGAAAGGAAACAAATTGGCAAAAAAGTAGTATATCAATACAGTATTTCTCTCTGGATGCTACGAAATAATTTGACACTCTTTTTCGCACACTGCATTATGTTTCCACCAACCTTGAAGAAACAGAGAAGGAAGAATACTCTGATAAAAAAGATATAATAAACTGACTGAATGTGAATAAAATAAAGAAAGAAGAGATGACAGGAGAAGATTCAGATCAAGTGAAGCCTTTAAAAACTAGAAGTGGACAAAGTGAAAGAAGATAGACAAAAGTCAAATAGAGAAAGAGCCTCAGAGAGCAGAGTGTTTGAGGTCACACAGCAAACCCTTTCCATTTACCCAGCGAATTGTTGAGCCATGAAGCATCCCCTCGCTTTTACTGGCAGTCTGAGCTCTGGCCGCACCGCAGGGAGCAGAGGTTACACTGCATTTGTGGTCAGAGCAGGGGCCATCTGTGTGTCAGTATAAATTAGAGTGTGTTCATGTGTTTGTGCAGTGAAAATATACATCAGTGAGAGTGTGTTATTGAATGTGTCTCACTGAAAGAGATAATGGGTGTTAATGGGTCTTATGTGCATTAAAGAAAGGGCCTAACAACTTTATGGAGATTATTCAAGGTTTAGGACACAGCAAAATAAATATATTGGTTCTTGAGGAATAGTGACATTGGTGCGTTCACACAATAGTTCATCAGAACTCAGATATATTTACGTTCACACCAGAAAGCCCCCATAACTAAATTAGTTAATCAGAACCATTTTTACCCCCATTTAAGTCCCTGCTAGAGAGCAGGGACTTTCGTGGGAGAAAAAGGTTCCTATGTCTGATTGGCTGGGCGGAATGCAAACCACAAAACTCCCAAAAAGCTTTGTGAAGCCGCCATTTTATTATCCTCGCATTAGCATTATTATTAGCCCAGCGCAGAAACACAGAGAGACTAACTTATGGCAACACAAAATAAAACATGGGAGCGGTGGAGATGAGGAGGTGTCGGCGTTCTGGCGATTTACTCGGAAGCCGGGGACTTCCGGCCGGGGACTTCGGGTGGCAGTATACGCCGTGAAGTTGTTTGTGGCCTGCCAGTAAACCCAAAGCAGAAGAAGAAGTGACGTCAGCGGCTTCATTTGCCGATCTGCTTTAGTTCATCAGAACTAAAAGAGTTCTGATGAACTATTGTGGGAAAATAACTTGGTGTGAACGCCCCTATAGGGACTAGTTGTAGGGCTGAATGGTAAACCACTGTTGCCGGCAACAATAGCTCAAAGATCTTCTTTCTATATTCTCTGTACTCTGCCTTGTACCCCCACTCCATAGAGCTCCATTGTTGTCAAATATCTATTAAAAACACATGAATGACCCATTGGCATCAACACACACAATCCCAAATACACCTTTCTGCTGCTGTAAATAGTCACTGGCAAATACACCGTTTACTCGAGTTTAAGTATCATTTACTCAAAACTGTGATGCCTAGCTTACTGCCTAATCATGTTATAATAATGAAACAATTTGAGACCAGGTTATAAAGAACTGTGTTACAAATAGTACCAAATGGGGATCTGAGTGAGTGCAACAAGCAGGGTAGAGAAATTAATAGAATGGAGACGGACTCAACAATGTTGGATTTGTTGGCAATTAGAACACTACAGAATAGCACCCTTATCCTTCAACAAGCACTGCTTAACTGTGTTTTCTAGGTATATAACATGTTTTTTTCAATATGTTGCTAAATGTTAAACACAAAAGTAGTAATGTATGTGTGCATGTGAACATGTATATGCTCTCCTTTTCGCTTGTAAATCTGCAAGAGTGTTTGTGTGAGAAACTCAGCAGTATGTGAACTCTCAGTCTCAGTCAGTCATACACACCACGGATTGCAGATAAATGAGCTGGACATGAGTCACATCTCCCCTCACCCTGCCGACAACCTGTTTCTGTCAGTCTAGAACTGTGTGTGTGTGTGTGTGTGTGTGTGTGTGTGTGTGTGTGTGTGTGTGTGTGTGTGTGTGTGTGAGAAGAGAAAGTCAGTTTATAAGATAGAAAAAAACTAAATAAGAGATGGTATATATGTGCGTAAGTTTGTGGGGAAAAAAACAGTTGAATGTGCATGTTTTCAAGATTCCCAATATGTATGCTTGTGTGACCGTGTGAGTGTTTTCATTTGATCCATCTTCATGACACTGGCAGGATTAGGACCCTCCATCAGTCTCTTGTGTTTGACAGCGTGACCCCCTGTGAACCCCCGTTCACTTACTAGACTGTGGGAGCCCCTTATCTCTGCTACTGTTCTGAGGATGAGCGGGGGTTGAATATAGGAAGGAGGGATGGGAAAATTAAAGTTGGTATAGGGCAAATGAACATTAAGCAAAGAGGCCCATTTGATTTGTAGAACCATAAAAAGCAAATGTAATTTCCGAAATGTATTCAAATCATTCTTAGGTCTTTTTAGCTTCATATAAGGATAATTCACTCCACATTTGTGTACTCATCAGTGCCACTGTGATAGTATCTGCTGCCCAGCTGACTGACAGATAGAAGCCAATAAACAAGACTACTGGTTTCTTTTACTTTGGCTGGTGCAGCCAAGAACATAATTAGGGAAGCTTCTGTGGAGCCAAAGCATATAAAAGTACCACTGAGCATCTTTACTAGAGTATCAAAAGATAAATGATATTGCATTTTTAAAGTTAAGCCACAATTTGAATTGTTTGTTCAATTCAAGTACATTAAGTAAATACTAACGCATCAAACTACTCATTCTCAGGAGCATTTATTTTTATAGTTTATGTAGGCATGGTGTCTCACACCACTTAGAATATTAATGATGTAGATGGGCTACAAATACTGGCTATTTAATACTTATTTATTACATCATACTTTCTGAGCTCATTTTAGGTTTGGCAAGCAGAAAAACCTTACACCGCAAAGTGAATGCGTATTTGAATCATATTATTAGAAATGCAAAACTGTCGTGAAATGATATTGTATTATATATGTTTTTTCATGAGGTCTACTGTAAACATGGAACACTGAGGACTAGCTGGAAGTGGTTAATCATACCCAACTTGTTTCAAAAACTATTTATAAATGCACAATAAACTGTAAAAACAGCTTCAGGCATCGAGTGATGTGGGTGAAATGGATGGTTTGTTTTTTCATTCTTTAGTTTGCCAACAGAACAACCTGGAGTCATTAGCAATGTTGGTGAAGTGATGGAATGCTGGTTTGACAAATGGACTGGATTTTGAGCATGTTTAGCCAAAAGAGAAGCATGCTGCCAGTACCTCTGACTGCGAGAGCTTGTCAAAAATAAAAAGAAGAATAGTATTTACGTCCTGAGCATCAAAGTCAGCCATTGTGTTGGACAAGCCAGCTAATGAAACTGGTGGGGTAGGTAAGTTTGAGAAACCGGCTTGAGATACACTTTTTGTTATATTCCATGGAATGCTCTTAACATCCCGATTGCAAAGAATATCTTAAGTGCTTTGACAAAAAATCCATAAACAAATGTCATTAGTGGAAGCCGTAATACTGTAAAAAGCACGACCAATTATTTTAGCCGGCCCGGCTAAAATAACTGGATGGCCTACCTGCCTGTCAGCCTTCCATCGGGGCACAAACTTATCTCGTGCCCTCATTGGTCATGTGCGCGTTCGTGTGTGTTGGAGGAGGGGCTCTGTAAGGAAGTGGCAGATTTTCTCCGGTTGGGTATTTTCAAATTCTATCTCGAGCCGGTTTCTCAAACTTACCTACCCCACCTTTAATGGCTGAAATAAAAACAAATAGCACCAAATA